AAAAAAAAAAAAAAATCTCTCTTAGGTCGAGTCTTGTCAGGTTTTGCGAGGTGGTGGTTGGTTGGACCTAAAAAAGCAGGGAGGCATTTCGAGCAAACATCGCTTCTTGATCCTGTCATTAGGTTGTTCATACTTATCCCTGGTCTCTTTATTGGTTCTGCTTACGTTTTTTTTTTCTACCAGGAAATATTTAGCTGCTGCTTTTGGAACCAAATCGATTTTAATTCATTGGCTCACATTTTCATCCAGCGACGGAATGAATAATTCACTCCAAAAGTGACCTTCCGGAAACAATCATGGGCAGTAATCCAATGACGCAAACTCAAGGTCAAAGCTTTTCTATCACCCGCACTCACATGTTTGAGTTCCAGCAAAACTTGTCTGGTGAGCTCGATTCTCTTCTTGTTGACATGTTTGATAGCCACCAGGTTGCCCTGCAATCAAGACACAATGACAGCGCAAATTATTAGGATGTCAATCGATGCGATGTCTGCCAAGTGAAGACGAACAACCACGCAAATTGCCCAGAAAAAAAAAAAAAAAACCCGAAGAGAGGAAATCCAGCCACCCATCAAAACAGAAAATGTGTGATCATTTGATCCAACTATATCATCTTCCAAACCAACTTGATGGTACACTTGCTTCTAATTCAAAGGCTTTGGACCTTATTGCCATGGCAACACATCTCACATGTGTTAACACGAGCATCTGTATAATATTACTGAAATGAGTTGGGTGCAGTGCTAAAAACTTTGTCCCGAGCTTGTCCTGTATCGCGGGCGCAACGCTAAAGCAGCCACGTATTTATTGCTGTGATTGGTTAACTTTCGGACTATTTTTTTGTTGGTAACGTTTCTTCCAGCTTGGAATATCCTCAATGCGCAACGCTGTTAACCACTCGGCAAATGACTAATGAACGGAAGACAAGTACACTACGGGACATACATGCTTGAGTGTCTGGTCCGCAGACCCGAGGCACCGGACGGCTGCGTAGGAGCTCAGAGAGGCAAGGTGAGCCCATTTCAAGATTTGAAAACAAATAGTATGATCTTAAAGAGAACTCTAAAATGTATCGAGAGTCAGTGAAGGGATGCCTGAGTAGGACTTATGTGCTCTCTTTTACAAGTAGCAGTCACGAGGCGAGCAGCAGCATTCTGGACCAACTGGAGATGCTTCATGGAGGATCGGGCGACTCCAAAGTAAAGTGAATGACAGTAATCCAGCCGAGATTTATTAACAACCATAATTACAAGTACAAATATGTCGAAATGGACAGAGGCGTCCCTGGTTTATGGCAGAGTTCGGTCTGCATCGCAAATTTGCAAGGTATGTGTCCCAGAAGAGATCTTAGCGGTCCCTCCATATTCATGATGAGCCGCAGTTTTTCCTTACGTCTTCCTTACGTCATTATGTGAGATGTAGCGCTGATTAAATGCACCGTATATACAGCCGGTAATTGCTATTTGCTTGCCACAGTGAATGAAAATCTTTAATAATCGCTGCCATGCAGCCTAACTCACACAAAGGCAAAAATAATCATTCTCATTATTAAGGCACTTATGTTTGTCGTTTTCCCTCGCGCCTCCTCCGCCATAAACAAACAAATTAAAGTCAGCAACAAGTTGATTGTCATGTCCGGACTGCAAGGCGGCAGTGTCGAAAGAGGCAGGGAGGAGGAGGGGGAAAAAAAAAGGGAATACTGACGCATTCTGCAGCTCACATTAAAAGCAACTACCTAAATTCGCCCACACGCTTTCTCCTCTCCAGCTTTCTCGGCGACCATGCGCATGCGTAGGTGGCAAAAGAGTGAGTCGAAGATGTCAGAACTCACCAAGCCTTACCTTAAAATAGCCCGTTTTTGCAAAGAGCTGATATTTTCCATGAGCGGTTATCAGAGAGCCGTAGCTGGAGCCTCTCTGAGGAGAAAGACATAAAAAAATAGTCTTAGCCTTGAGTCCATTTTGAGCAAAAGAGGATTACATTCCGTCCACTTTGGACGGCGTCGCTTAGCTGCAAAATAAATTCATGAAAAACTGAAGTCTATTCGGGTCTGCAAAAATAGCAGTTCAAGGTCTGTCCTCACAGTGTGAATCAGTGCGTTGCGGAGGCAGCGTGTGCAGACGCCGAGCATCAACATTTTCACGACTGCGGAGAATGCAAAAAAAACTGGGCGCCCGGCGTACATTGGAAACTATGATCTGGAAAAGACATCTACGTTACACTGGGCTTCAAACGATTAAGCATATGCTATTGTTTTCCAAAACCGACCTTGTTGTTTAATGTTTACAGTGAAACACATGTTCCATTTTCCTCAACAATGAAATGAGCTTCTGTAGTAATGGCGATACTCGTGATCAAATCCATTCAAAATCCAGTGGCGAAAGTTGTGATGCAAGCAAAGCCCCCCCCCACCCCAAAAAAAATGGGAGACACTCCATAGAATTAGTCTTCAAATTCTGAAAGCACATCACTTTGCCGTTTTACATCACACTGAATTTTTATTGCCGGGAAATATACAGCGACCCTCGTCGCCCCCTCCCAACTCATCCCCCGGGCGGTTGTGGGCCGAGGCTCAACCCGCAGAAGATGCATGAGCCCTCAGACAACAGAACCCGATACTCGAAGAACGCGACAAGGTATTACAGATGCAAGGACCTGCGCCAGGCAAAAGCTTCTTATTTCAACCATCACTTCATCTGTTTTTTCGCCACCACAAACTCAGCCACCTTCGATAGACCACTGGCAAAACAACCCGGGAAGTGCCAACAAAAAAAAGATTTGGACTCTTTCGCCAAAAAAAATGGGAGACACTCCATAGAATTAGTCTTCAAATTCTGAAAGCACATCACTTTGCCGTTTTACATCACACTGAATTTTTATTGCCGGGAAATATACAGCGACCCTCGTCGCCCCCTCCCAACTCATCCCCCGGGCGGTTGTGGGCCGAGGCTCAACCCGCAGAAGATGCATGAGCCCTCAGACAACAGAACCCGATACTCGAAGAACGCGACAAGGTATTACAGATGCAAGGACCGGCGCCAGGCAAAAGCTTCTTATTTCAACCATCACTTCATCTGTTTTTTCGCCACCACAAACTCAGCCACCTTCGATAGACCACTGGCAAAACAACCCGGGAAGTGCCAACAAAAAAAAGATTTGGACTCTTTCGGGACTGCTTACTTTTCACCAAACAAATGAACGCTTCTGGATTCCTGGCAGAGAAACACCCGGCTGCCATAAGAGCTGACAGACGAGCAACAACTTCTTAATTTGCGCCGTGGAGGCTCTGCCAAGCGACACCGCCACAGAAGGCAATATAACGTCGAGAGTGACGATGACATTTTCAGGTCTGCCAGCTGTAATATGAGCTCATGTGGGCGTGTCGCCGCCCGTCTGCCTCTCAACAATTGCGAAAAGTGCTTTGGAAGTCTGTCTCTTGAACCTCCTGCGGACAATTTGTATTCATTTGTTAGCCCCGCTGTAATTAAATCACGGCGGTGAAATACGATGGCTGGCTTTCACCTGCGAGAGCGTGAGACGACTGCCGGCTCGTTTGTGGTATTTATTGGGGCTCTCAAACTGGAGGTCCTCCCAGCGAATCCTCCACAGCATTCCGGCGAGCTCTTTCTCCAACTTGAGTTTCCTACAAAAGGGGGAAAGTGGAACGGCGGTAAAATCAACCAGGGGGTAACAGCGATGCCAAGATCAGAGCAAAACCTCTCAAGTGTGGTGGCTTTACTGTATATTGTTTTAAAAGAGAGTGCATGACAATCATAAAAAAAAAAACCCGAAAAGAAAATGTTCCTGTGTCCTTTAGTTTGTAACTGCAGAAATTGTGGTTTGAAGCAAGGCGACAGACAGTGTCACAAATACTCGTAAAGGTTGATGATAGAGTAAGAGAGACATCGTCAAGTTGGAATGCTAGCTTTGTAACGTTCATCCATCCGTCCATTTTCTAATCCGCTTCTCTTCTTGAGACTCGCGGGCATGCTGGAGCCTATCCCAGCCCCCCTGAACTGGTCGCCATCCAATCGCAGGGCACACCGAGACGAACGACCATTCGCGCTCTCAGTCACCCCTACGGACAATTTCGAGTGTTCCATTAAACCTGCCATGCATGTTTTTGGAATGTGGGAGGAAACCGGAGTACCCGGAGAAAACCCACGTGGGCATTGGGAGAAGATGCAAACTTCACACAAGGAAGGCCGGAGCCGGAATCGAACTCCGCACCTCCGCGCTGTGAGGCGGACGTGCTCACCAGTCAACTATTCAAAGCAACCTGGTCTTGTGTAGAAAAAGTAACACAGCTCGCAGGGTTTTTTTTTTTCAGGGCACTTTTAAGTCCCCCCCCCATGTTTCCCCAAAACCTGCATGTTCGTTTTATTGATCACTCTTGATTGCAAAGTGTCTCAATCAAGGTTTCGTGGTGGCAACAATTTTCAAATGATGATATCTCTGAGAATAAAAAGATCACTCGGATTGAATTGGCCATGGGAGACTGGCCAGTAAGTTCAAGAAACGAAAGATGTGCAACAGCAGGGGAAGACAAATATCTTCACCGTCTAACCAGATGCATTAATTCTTGAGAATGTGCGACAGGTCTGGTGTTATTTTTGAGCATCACTCTGGCAAACGCAGAGCACCGCAGAGGGGAGGCATCTTTCCAGCGAATCGTCCAAAGCCTTCCACTTTTTTTTTTTTGTACGTGTGTCTGTTTGTGTTTCGACAGACGCGAGTAAAATCCTTTTCACCGCCCCCCCCCAAAAAAAATGACAAACGAGCAGAGCACACACATTCCCGACACCGTCTAAAAGGTGTAAAACACTTCCAGATGGCTGCGAGAAATTATTGCAGCGCTTGCAGATTGCGTTTGAGCCTCTTTTCAACCTTGTTTTTTTTTTTTTTTCATGTGGAAAAAACATCACTTGTTTGATGCTTGTTTGTGTCTACAAATAAATATTGCCGAAGCTGCCGGTGTGCATCCAATTTGAGGACAAGAAACAACATCAAACCAGCGGTGCTCCCCTTGCCCCATCCACTCCGAAAAAAAAAAGCATATATATATATATATATATATATATATTTTTTTTTTTTTTCTATTTAAAGAGCCTGGTTCAGAGACCTCTGGCAGCCCGAGTAGCAAAGTGTGGGGCTCCACAGTGGGCCTATTGTTTCCTAAGTCCCATATGTGAATACCTCTGCTGGAGCAGGCCCTCCATTAAAACATCAGAGCCAGAGCAGCTCTGCTTAACGTCCGCCTCACAACCGCCGCTGCGCACACACACACTCCAAAATCAACCGAGACAGGCTGCGTGGCCATCCCGCTGAAATCGGTGTACAGTTCGATCTTACAAATACGATTGTTGACTTTTGCGAAACTAAAATTCCGATTATCCTAAGCCCTTCAATCTATTTCGATCACCTGCCACTTGAAATGGACAAAAAAATGTTGGTTGATGCAAGACAAAGCAACACAGGGGAGGAAGCATTCCATTCAGACAGATTGTTTTTATTAAACTGGCTTCAAAAAATGTCACCGTTGCATATATTTCACAGAGATAACACACGTTTTTGTCAACAATGACCCATTTTCCAAGTAGTAAAAATATCCCTTTATATAGTTCACAGTATAGTATTATTTTTCCACCAATCCCGCAATTGCATGACCCCAGCGCTTAGACATATCCGAGTATAAAATCTTTTTGTTACATTCGTTAAAAACACAAAACAGCAGCACTGAATACATCACGGATAGAAATGGTTCGATATACTGTATTCTTTCCCTATGTTTTCATTGAAATACTCGGCCAAATAAATAATCGTTCTGATCATCAGAAACTCTGGCTCCGACCGGACGATTCGAGAAGAAGTCAAATCGAGCGTTTTAGTGGTGATTTGTAGATCAAGTAGTGAAGACAGCAGCGTGTTGGTCTTGCGTGATGGCGGGCCGGGCCACTGTGCCGCGCGCCTCCGTGTCCGTCGGCAAAGCTCCACTGGCGTCTGCGAGAACAGAGAGCCACTTGTGAGCGTTCGCCATCAAACATCCGGAAAGCTCTCGAAATGGTGCGATTCCCAAAAGCTTTTCTGCTTGTGGTGCCCGGGCCAAGTGACTCAAATGCTTGTCCGTCAGAAAGAGTCTTCCGGAAATGATTTGGGGTGTTGTGCACAAGTCTTCGAGCGAGTTTCGTTGTTTCACGGACATGTTCCTCGAGGGACATAACGAATCTATGCGTTATCGCGGGAGTTCGTCGTAACCGTCTCCAATAAAATGGCCGCCAACTATGACGTATGCATACGTAATACAGAATACAAACATGAATTACAGAAATCGATATGTTATCATCCAGTTTAATGATTCAAATGAAAAGTTTTCCAAAAGTAGAGGGCATTTCACAACATTTACCGGCCAAGCGTCCAGGTCAATTAGTTCAAGAGGAAACCACTCTGTGCTTGTTGAACTGTGTGCTGCAAAAAGAAACAGAAAGGGTGAACTGTTATTATGATGATTTTTTTTTTCCCGACAGGTAAAATACACAATGTTCATGAAACAATCTAATAGAAGCTTGGCATTGAACTTGATCAACTGTGATGCAGACAGAAGGGGATTTTTTTTTTTTTTTTACCTGAGGTGGAAAGGTGTTCCTCCGGCTTTCTTCCACCATTCCTCTGATCAAAATCCATTCTGATTGGCTGCTGATTCACACTCGGCAGTGTTAATAGTCAGTAGTGCAAACGTGAGCAAATTCATCGTGTTCATCAATGAAGAAGTGAGAACCTATTTGAAGAACCGACTGATGATTCAAGTTTGGTTTGGCCTGAAGTAACCACGCACTGACGACGACTTACGGATGCCCTCGACGCCAACGAATGACGGACTGGCAACATTTTGTAAATTGCCCGCCTCTGATATACGTACGGTGCGCATACCGGAGGTGGGAGTACGTTGCATATGTGCAAGTCACGAGTATGTCTCAAGTTGTAATTTTCAAGCCTCAAGAAAGTCATAAAATCTTGCTCGGTCACAACATACGGTATGTTGGAGTGATAATAACACCAAAAAAAAAGTTTTTTTTTAATCACTGATCATACTCCAAAAACTACATCTACATCTTTAAAAATGAAACGAAAAACAACTCAGCTCATGAAATGAACGTCACAACTATTGAATCATTTAGAAGAATGCAAGTTATTTTTTCATACAAACGTCAAAACGAGTGGCGATAAATACTGAAATATGCCGAATGTGGGAGTATGTACAGGCAACAGATTTGAAAATGACAGATGTTGTTTCTGGCGCCACTCTTGTTCCCCAAAACTCTTTTTGTGTGCCAAAATGGGCAAAACGGAGAACTGATAAATTCATTCAAATTGTACAATGACAACAAGAAACTCATGACATCATCCCCTCTCGATCCGAGTCGTAGACAAGATGCACACCCCGATTTGTCATTTGTTGTCTTCCCCCCCCCCCCACAATAATTCTAAGCAATTAATGGCTAACGCAATCGTGTAAACAAAGCCACAGTTTCAATACAAAGAAGATTATTGAAAACCACCACAAACAAGCCAGTGATGAGCATCGCCAACAAGTTTTTTTTCGCAGGGTAAATGAAAACAATCATCAATCAGCAAGTTTAAATGAGTAAAATCAAACACGACAAAAAGCCCGGCAACGTTTGGGCCGCTCCCCTTCCCCCCCCCATTAAAGGAATAAAACACAGCAGGGAAGCCTTAACCCTGCCGCTTTAAGTACATTTACAAGCGGGAAAATGAATGGCCGCAATCGCACATGATGCGACTCGTGACAAAAAAGACTTCAAGACAAAACTGCGTATAGTTTCTAATTTAGTGTTGAACATGTGAGCCAACCATTTTTTTTACCCCCACCCCCACCCCAACCCCTCACATTTATCAGCCCATGTTCGCGAATCCTTAATTCAGGTGACATTTCGATTTAACCTGAGGCAAAATAAAAAAACAGCGTGAACGGACTTCATGATTATCGAGCGAGAAGCGTGTTTGGGCCCAGCGTGTGAGCTCACATGGCAGTCGAAACGCACCGACCCACTGCTTTATGATCACGGCCCGCTGAGCCGTTTCTGCGGCAACAATTGTGAAAAATACCACACGGGCACTCATTGCGGCGACCGGCCGTAAATCTCTTTCCAATCACATATCGCTTTGTCATCCCATTTAAATCACCTTCACATTTGCACGGTTGTTTCTCAGAGGCGGCGCCGAGCGAGTGCGTCAGCAACGCGCTTTCCGACTCACCTGTAAATGAGGAAACTGGAGATTCCAAAAATGATGAGCGCCAAGCCAGATCCCACCGCCACAATTCCCAGAACGGGCAGCTGACCTGGAAACAGGAGAAGGATTCCACACTCGGTTGTCTGTCATATGTTCAACAGGTGTCCACATTCATATCTTTGAGAAGGGGGCAGGGGGGGGGAAGGGGGGGAGAGGACGCTAGAACAAACACAGCTGTCACTGCCTAACTTAAGACTGTTACCACAGAATTAAAAGACACGCTTCACTTCATGCAAGATATAAATAATATTTCCATAGTCTAATTAAGACTCGGAATTCAATCTGAATAATCCAAATAATATGATTGCACTCTATTGGCAATAATAGACTGTGGAAATTGCGTGAAATTTTACACAGCTCATGAGGACATTTTCTAAAGGTCATCGAGGGAATTTGTATTCTAATCCATCTGAAGGGTTGATGGGGGGAAAAATGGCTTCTATCGTACCGTCATTGCAGGAGGGGTCATCCGTGGAAAACACACAGGGTGGGTTATCCAGCGGTGGGCCCCCACTGGGCCAGTGGATCTTCTCTGTCTGGGACCAAATGATCTCTTTCATGGTTCCGTTGTAGTAAGCAACCAGCTGCACAAAGAGATTCACATATTTGTTGGTTTTTGTTTGATATCAAGGACCAAGATATGACACGAAGATTGATTCGGTCATTTTCACTTTTTCCGTTAAGGGTCACAGGACACCTGGAGCTGAGCCCCACCGACGTGAGAGGCTGACTCGTAAGGAAGCCGCTCTTTTACAAACATGCCTGCCATTTTTCTGGGAAGACGTTCAACAAGATGTTAATGTCTGTGGAAATGTGGGTTCGATCATTCAGAAGAGCTCCAAAGCAGTGGTGTCAAACTCATTTTTTGTCGCGAGTGGGAGCCGGATTTTGACTTTGATGCTACAACATCTGTTCTCCTGCTGTGAAACATGACTCCTGACGTTCATACACGAGGGTCTTTTTTTTTGGGGGGGGGAGGGGTTGTTTTGCTTTCCCTTCATGCTTGTCGCATGTTGTGTCCTCTCTCCTTAAACCTTGAAGGCCACCGCCCCTGCGGAGGGTCATCCAAACAATGCAGATGGGGAAGGCAGTGGGGGCAGGGCCCACAAAGCCGCTGAAGGCTGTTGTCAAAAAGTGACATAAAGCCCATTATTATCTAAAAATAGCATTCGACGGCGTAGGATTCTTCCGAGATCAAAAAGTATGCGCCTATGCTCTGGTTATTTACTGTTGTATTACATAACATGCCTTCATAAGAGCACACTATGGAGCTGTATTGACTGGCAATTAACATTTTTTTTTTTTTTGGTTCCATTTAACCGAATTGACATGGGCCTCGATCTCAATATTTGATTCGATCCAAAACTAAAACGGCCTTCCGATAAAATGAAACCGTTTCGGCGATGAGTTGACTCAACAGTCGCGTTTTGGGAGGGTCAACACACAAACTTCCAAAAAGGTGTCCTCAAGTGGGAGTTTTGAAAACCGTCGGCATGAGTGCTCCCGCGTCAACAATGCATCATTTTGCAAATGCGCAAGATACACCCAGAACGGTTGAGCAGCCAAACACGGACCCGAAAAGCTGCATGAGAAGGAGAAAACCAGGCCGGCGACTGAGGTCAATCAGTCATGGAAGAGCACCAATTAAAGCCAAAGATAGATGAGAACGAGAGCTCCTGCTGACTGCCTCGAAGGACCGTGATGAAATTCTGACTGAAGTCAAATGTAGCTAACCCACTTTTATTTTTTTTGCACTCGAAGGAAAAAAAAAAAAAAAGAGGAGGGAAAAAAAACGTTTTGCAGATCACAACACACAAATATTTTCCTCTGACTGTGGTGGAATTTTGAGGTTTTAAGCATGTTATCATTAGGGAAGTTAGGACCCCAGCATTTGTCAAGATACTAATAGCCAAAGGATGTGGCTTCCACTGACACAAAACCATTTATTCTCTCTAGCCATTCTCATGCTGAATATCGGACAAGGAGATTCCGGCTGTCTTGACCGTACTGTACTACGCTGTGTGACCAGCAATAACGCAAAGGCAATAAAAAAAAAAATACAAAGAATGGGTCCACTTACCCCATACTCTCCCGTGTCCTGGTTGGTCATGGCCCAAAGGTTGATGTCTATATCCCTGGCATTTTTGTGGTCTGTGGTAACAAGACCCGTCACCCCTGGCAACAACATCCACAGCAAAGGTCTGGTCAGGCCGTGTGATCTTTCATCCCTTATTAAAATCTGAGATGCTTTTAACTCAAGGGGTGGCTTTGAGGAATAAATCTCAAGTAATGTCTCCCTCTCTTTTTACGTTGTTGGGCTCCTGCGTCTTGGTTTTTTTTTTCGGAGATGGCGGTGTTTCGTTCTCATGCTGAGAAAGGCCGACATCACTTTCTTGCAGATCCCAAAAGCCGACAGCTCATGAGGCATCACGCTGAAACGCGATGATTCACGATTTGCTCGCGGTGACGCTCTGGCCGGCGTCAACAGGAGGATGCTTCGAAACGAGCACCTTTCCGACTTCAACACTGAGAACGGGTTTCAGGATAAGTCGTCGGTAAAAATCATTCTGAAGGGGAATGTGGCCTTCAAAGTGTAAAACGTGGCCGTTTCCGCGAATGCCGGCGGCACAAAATGTCTAAAACGCTCAACGACGGCAAAAGGCCTTGGTGATACGAATGCAGCCAATGGCAGCCGGATCTCTCATTAAATATTATTGAAGCAGTGACTTGAATCAAAACGCTTTATTGACTGCACCATTATTTTGTTTAGAGGGCTTAGCATCATGCCATTTGGGCTTTAGTGCGGGCCAGTCATGTAGAGCTGACTGAGGCAACGTTCACGTGGCCCCAATTTGTGGCCATCGGAGTGTCGTTTGAGGGGTTACAACAGCTCCTTGGCCAAATAACTTCATCATTTGTGTGTGTGTGTGTGTGTGTGTGTGTGTGATGACTTTAATAAAAGAAAAAAAAACTGATTAAAAACAGAAATGTCCATAAGAAGGCAAAATATGAGCTGCTAAGGTATCGTGCGGTTCCTCCCCAATGGAGCTTTTTTTTTTAAATTTACCATTCACAAAAAATGTCAGAGAGTGATTATGAAGTTGTCTTTGATATTGTGAGTGAAAATAAACGACAAGAAAATCATGTTTATCAATACTACCATGAAATAGCATGACAAAAAAAAAAAGTTCTTACTGGCTAATTAAGTGGCCGTGCTACAAAACAGATGGGAAAGCGCATTTGCTCACCCCAGATTTGGCGGTTTTGTGTTCTCATTGTGATGTTGATGCCGTCGTTTTGAGCTCCGCCTTCAGCCAGCGTTTCGTCCAAGGCCTTTGCGTACAGCACAAAGCCATCATAGAAGCTGCCGGCGATGTAGTCCATCTGCAAGACGACGGCGGTCTTATCGAAGCGCATCGAAGGAGTCGAGCTGACTCCACATCAACTCCAAAATGATGTGCCCATCATTTCCTTGAACCTACCAGTGATGGTTCCAAATGTACACCAAAATCCTGCTGCGCTCTTGCGTGGAGTCGCCTCTGAAATTCTTTGTACTCTGGATTATCAGGAGGTCGGTATGTTATAATGAAAACGGACTAAAAGGGCACACAGAAAAACAGAGCATCATCAGAGAGAACGGTATATTGGCCGAAACGTCTTTCAGCAAAGACATTCCAAAAAAACGTAAAAAAAGCAGAATCGCATCTTCTCTGACAATTACCATGGCAACCCTCAATCGCTTTTACCTACTTCTGTGGTCTTACTTCAGTGGTCTGTAAAATGTACGCTCTACCGCTTGTGTAGTCACTTTGCAGCAATGATTTGATTTTAATTAATTCGAGCATGTTGGCAAGATGACTTTTGTTGCTGTTTACATGAAGTGCTTCCAGCCTTTGTCGATTCTCGATAAATGTGAAAGGACTGATCCAAAGTCTTCATTCAAAATGACATGTAAAGTCGTAAACCAAAATAACAGACACGTGATCAGCTAACTCCAATATTTAGAGGACGCCGATTGCAGCAAGCCACTGACGTTTTAATACTCAAACAACTGAAGTATTTCAAAAAAAAAAAAAATAATAATAATATTTGACCAGACATAAACACAAGTACATTTCCCCTTTTCGGTTCAACGTACCTTAAAGACCTTGACGGGATCGTCCCACTCGAGATCAGAGTTCTGCCAGGGTTTGCGTTCTGTCAAACTTTCGGCAAAAACATCCAAATAAAAAATGGCGTAGTTTTCTGGGTCCGGGATCTCGCTGTGGAAGAGTTTCATGATGTTCAGGAAGGTGTCCAGGGGTCCGCATATGTACACAACTGCAGCGGGAGAGAACCACAACAAGATAAGCAATTGACATCGGATCAGCCTCTTTTAATTTCACGCCTTCCGTGCCGACGGCCAAACACCGCAACATCCAAAGGATGCAGAAACTTGGAGAGGAGGAAGGACTGGTAAGTTGAAGAATGTTTCAACAAACTCCACGTAGACTGACTGCCGTGGATGTGAATTCGCCTTTGCGCAGAGAGTACCGCTTCTCCGAGTTGAAGCCGCTTGTTCAACACCTTCATGCAGGGTCGTCATGGTAACGCAAGCCATACATAGCATTGGTTCCGAGCGGACGAGGTGAACAGTCGCTCATTTTCATGAGACGAGAGATGACCCTCTCAAAACAGACTCGCTTGGGCGAGCTTTCGATAAAAGGGGAGAGAAAGTGTTGTGCACGTCTTGATCTTTTGGGCATTTTGATGACGCTAGAAAGCGAGTGCGTTTGATTTGTGCAGAGTGCATCTTTGAGGATGTGATGATCAATGTGATCAAAAACTGCACTTCGACCACTCACCATGTAGCCGACTGTAAATATAATGCCAGAGACATTTTCCCCCCCCCCACATTCTAATTTTGGCCCATACTCTTGAAGTGAGTGTAACCTCTGATACCAATCAAATCAAGTCTCCTGGTTAAATACTTAACAGACCTGTTTTTGGCCCTTTTTTTTTTGTTGTTGGAGCTCTCAGCCTTGTATTTCATGTCAAAGCCAACTGCACTTCTACACTCTTACTGTAAAGTAATTCCTAGCTTTTATAATACTTTCCGAATTAGTTTAACTGATGTTTGTTTTTGTTTTTTTTGGGGGGGGGGG